CTCTGCCTCGTTCGGACAAACCCCTTATGTACTGGGCAGTAAATAAGCAGCAATTGTAAGCCATCACGGGTAGGGCCCTCCTTACCATCTTGTCTTAAATTGTATTGTGACTGTAATGTCTTCCTTATATTGTAAAGCGCTGTGCAAACTATTGGCGCTATATAAATCCTGTATAATAATAATTCCCCTCTCTGGCCCAATTGGCAAAAAAATGTCTTTCTGCTCCATGCAGTAGTGTGGAGAGTGAAAGATTGTTCAGCGCAGCATCACACATTTTGACCGACAGCAGTAACCGCCTGCTATGTGAACATGCAGAGATTCTCCTGTTTCTTAAAAAGAACCTGCCACTTACATTTAATAAATAATCATAATTGATCGAATGCCTGTTAATGTAAAACTGGTGATGTTAATAGCCTTTTTTTTATTTAAAAACATGTTCTTTTACATTTGCTCTGGTTTTACAACTTTGTGGAAGCAAATCAAAATGTTCTATTGTTCTAAAACAGTCTTTTAAATTAAAGTTCTTCATAATATTAAAGAATTTGGCCTAAAATCATTAGTCTGTATTGTTTTGTGTTTTTTTTTAAATGTCACCTGTCCCTTTAAGAAAAAGTATCGGTAATTGGTATCGGCAAGTACATGAGGGAAAGTACTTGGTCTTGAAAAAGTGGTATCAGGACACCCCTACTTTAAATGATTCCATGTGTTATTGAACTTGCTGTTTAATAAATTCCTTTAGTATCTATTGATGACTTCTTGACATCCATTTATTGCTGCAAACGGTGCTGCTGCCACCCAGCGGGCTTCCTGTGTTTTTCCTGTTATGCAACTTTCTCTTTAGAAATGAAATTTAAAAATGATGTTGTAATCACAATGACTTGCCAGCAGATGGAGATAAAGTTCCACATTTCATTGTAAGTGGCACTACTTAACTGAAAATCCTACACAAGGCTGCACTTGTTGTGGTTGTGTCTGACCGCTCATAAACAAACTAGTTGAATGACATTCTATAGCACACAATGTATTCTCCAGCTCAAAAAAAGCAGATTGTTTTAAGCGGAGTTTCAACCTAATGTATTTTATTGTATTGTATTAAGAATATGTAACATAGCTGCACATTTTCAAATATGTTTAAATAGTGCTTATAAGAAAACTTGCTCCAGTGCATATGTAATATTTGGTATCATTTAATGTCTTTATGTATTTTATGTTCAGTTACTTTATATTTTATTCTACCAATTTATAAGTATATTTGTGTTATATAATGATTCTCCTATTTGGTCCGTGTGTGTTGTAAAGTAGTCACCGCTCCAAGCTTGCTACTGCGCTGGACTACAATCTCACATTTAATTTACTAATTCATATTGAGATTGTAGTTCATCACAGGAGCGAACTTGGAGCGGTGGCTACTTTACAACAGTGACAGCTTTAGATTGACAACTGTGTCTAAAGATATAGGGTGAGTGTAAGTAGCACTGTGAACAAGACACATATTCTGCACAGGGCTGGGGCATGCATTTCATTTTTGCCTACACAGGCGAAGGTATATTTTTCTGCCTGCCCCCCTATCCACACCCTCAGGCTCAGGCTGCTGCCTTACGCCAGCCTTGCTTGAGCTGCTTGCCAATTGGCTCCACCTCCCTTGTTCAGCCCTGGCCTTTGGACTGTCCAGAGAGTGGCTCTCTGGTAGTTCAGGGACCTGACCTCCTGGGGGGCAGCCTACTACACCCACCCACTGGACCTGCTGAAGGTGAGTGCTTGTCTGTGTTCTGGCATGGAAGGAGCTACCCATTAATGTTTGTGCAGGTGACATTCCACAGGGATCAGAGAGAGTGTGCGTGCGTGTTGGCTGATCCTGGAGATGTTGTGTATTTGTCATTCTGCCTAATCTGAGGTCTGCCCTGCATTGAATCTGGTCTACAGTCAATATCAGTCTTAAAGGGTTATTAAACCCTCACGTGCTTTTGCATACATCTAGTGCTAGCAAGCAGTAGATATATGCATAAACATTAAAATAAAAAACCTTTTAGAAGGCTTTAAACTTACCTGGTGTTTTTGCCGCGCGCTCGCGTCCGAACATCTGATGTCTCGGGCGGCCGCAAAAGATTTTGGGCGGGCGCATGTGCACTTCAGATGTTCAGCCGAGAGACACAAGGTAAGTCTATGGAGCAGCATGCACCCGCACAGACACCGTGGGACATCAGAGAAGAGGACAGAGGAGTCAGCGCTGGATCGAAGATCTGCACCAGCGCTGGAGGGACTTCTGAAAAGGACAGTAAGGAAGAAGATCGGATTAAGAGACATCATTTAAGGTAGGTCCCTACAGCAGGATTGGGAAGGGGGGGGGAGTTGGACTTTAATTTTTTAGCTTATATCCTGATCCTTAGTTGGTTTTTTTTTCCATCTGTATTTTTAGATGTTGTTAATGATGGCTTTATGATGGCTAAATATGTTTCCGAAGTGTTCCAATAAACACTTGTTGGTTTCAGGGTACAATCGGTTTAGCTATATTTTAGGTACCTTAACTAACAAAAATGTATCTTATTTGTGCATCACTCAGCTGTATATCCTCAAATCTTCTCTGAGATGGTGCTGACACTGTCCTTCCTTCTGGAGTGTGGCTACTTTTATTCCCCATGGTCCCTGTGTGTGTTGTAAAGTAGTCGCACACGAGTACTGGTATTGGTATCGGTGCATCCCTACTTTAAACAAAGCAAGATGCAGTATCTTTGCCAAGATTTGCGTTAAAGGAAAGCACAGGTCAGAGGGGTGTGGCAAATGTTTAGACATAGAGAAGTCAAGAGTTGCATACAGACCAAGTCAAATTTATTTTCTTTGGGGAGTTTCAAGACAGTTTAAAAGAAAACAAAAAGTAAACACCACAGGTAGCTCCTAGTATCTGCAATCATAAAATGGCAGTCATTAGTGGTGAGTGGTTCATTTGGAGTCAACAATTTCTATTCCACCCTGCAATCCCAGGAATCTGGTATTACCCTGGATGTATTGGACATCTAATGGATTAACAAAAGCCATTTTAATGGATTAACAAAAGCCATTATCAAAGACAATCCCAGTTAGATTTGTGCTTATATTGTTTTTAGGCATGTACTGTGGACACAATAAATCAAGATACAAGCACAATAGAAAGATTTGTTAAAAAGAAGCGGTTTAATCATTATTATTTTGCTTTTTTGTCATGCATTTAGGTTTGTTTGTAATGTATTAAGCAATGGATAATACAAATATATCATCAACAGGGACATAAGAATCAATTTGAATAAAAAAAAGATATACTGCAACAGTAAAATATATAAAGCAGCTACAAGTAACATATGTAAAAGGTTCTCAATAAATACACTGCATATGACATTTTTTTAAAAATAAACATTTCCCAGCAGTGTGTGTGTGTGTATTTTACAATGGTAGAAAGAAACCTCATACTATTGTTCCCATTTTGAAACCCAGGGTGATGTGACTTTGTCGCTGGTAATACAAATGATGATGAGCCTGTGTTCTGAGATGATGGAAGGCAGGAATGCCTCTACACAGAAAAATGGCAGCTTTAGAATCTATTCTTTTTTAGTTCGCAAGTGCTCTTCGGTAGCTGCAAGCACTTTGGTTCTTAGAAGGAAAAAACTTTTTCTTAACCCTTGCAGTGGGGCTACTCCCTCACTGCAAGGGTTAAGTGCTCGTTTTTGTCTTGATTCAAAGATATTTATACTCACCGAAGCTACAAGCTGTCCAGCTGTCACAGCAGCATTGGAATGTTCAGAGTGCTCACATCTTTACACTGAAATATATACATACATATATACATATATATATATATACACACATATATATACATAGGCAGACAGACCTGTGCACACTTGCTGTGAAGCTTTTTTGTGTGCTTTTTAGCACACACACAGTACTGTACAGTATTATTCAATCCTGCATGGCTCCAAAGAAAGCGCAGAGCAAGCATGGTGGTAAAAAGAAAGTGCAGAGCGGTAATGAATTTACATATGGTTCAGAACAGATTAACCTTATTTACATTGAACCTTATGCGGAAATTTGATTCTGTTCACAACCAAAATCGGTGCGCGACCACGTTCATAGGGGTCAGAATGGAGTAACCTATGGGATCTTAGACCACTGCAGAGCAGGGGGAGAAACGCTAGAAGGACCAGTCTAAGAAGCTGGCTTGGAGCTTCAGGCGAGTATAACTTTTTTTAACCTAGACACAAACGAGCACTTGACCCTTGCAGTGCGGGGGTAGTCACATTGCAAGGGTTAATAAAAACATTTTTCCTGAAGTTCTTTTAGTAGAATTATAATATCCTTCTTATCCTATGATGAATTTAAGGTCTGAAGTCAGTCTCTATAAAATATGTGGATTAATTTGCTCCATTCTTTAGCAGCAGTTCAACTAGATAGGATCATTTTGAAATGCAGAAACTATTGGAAGTCAGTCTAATCTGATGTATTACGTTTGAGATAAGCAAATATATTCAAAACACTGGCTCTGACCAGGTGAATCTTTGTTTCCATAGGCATACATCAAATTACTTGTATCGTTGACACAGATTTATGTACAGTACAATTCCATGTATGTGTCAAAGGATCAGGCAACCTTGAATTAGGATCATTAACTGTATACAGTATGTGATGTCCCTTTCACATATGGAGACCAAAGGTTTGACCCAATGTCCCAATCTCTTTACTCATCCCCAAAAGTAATCCTTTGTTTGGTGAAAGACCTGATAAAATCATTGACAAAAAGATGATGTATTCTCAATCAAATACGAACATTATTATTGGCACACCATAAACTGCAATACACAGTGTGAAACCCAAGCTTGGGGCAGGTCCAGCAGGAAGCTTCCGGTCTGCAAAAACTGGACACAAAGCATTTAATGTTTAATATACATTTATAACATCTGACAGACAACTGTGTTGTGTCATGTTTCATATAAAGTGGCAGCCATCTATACTCTACAGACTTATAAGGTCACTGAACTACTCAGTGGTGTCATTATAAAATCACAGAAAGTGTGAAGTATATGCCATAAAACTGGTATTTAGTCACTTGCTTCACTTTCATCACTGTCTTGCTTGTTTTTGTCATTACTCCCTTCTGCATTCTCTGCAGCCGCCTGTGAGCCCTTTTCTATACCGCCATACAGCTGGTCATGTTCAGACTTCCATTTCTGGAATACAGTTGAGTGCAAGTTAGGATGCTCCAGGATTTGGTTAAGTGCTTCAAGTTCGTGTAGCTTTGCCTGTGGGAAATACAAATATAAATCATAGAGACTACAAAATAAAGCAACATTAGTAATTGTATCTTGCAGAACCTACTACTCTACCTACTACATCGGCAATCATTTTCTATTAAAGTCATATTAAAGTCAAAAGGTTTTTAAGCTTTTTCAAATGCTGATGAAATCACTTACAATGGACGCTGCTTCTTGATGTTTAAAAGTTGTAGCCTCTTGCAGAATCAGCTTGTCAGCTGAGCACTGGCCCTTATATCCTGTTTTAGGGTGGCTCCTTTCCTGTGTCCTATGGAGCCACCCTTGTGTGTCCTAGTAAGCTACACACACACACACACACACACGTATTGAATATTTGACGTAATCTAGGCCTGTGTGCCATTCTTGCACTATTTTTAAATTCATACTTATTGTTCTGTACTTTGTTAAAAATCAACAAAAAGTTACTAAATCAAAAAGAAAAAAAAAAGTTTTCAGTTTTCATGCAGAATAAGCTGGTCCCCTGAGCACTGGCCCGGATATCCTGCTTTAGGGTGAATCTTTTCCCTTGCAGGGTCCTATAGAACCATGCTTGTGTGTGTGTTCGCAAGCTGTGTGCAGCTCCACGACACAGCAAGGTAAGCCACTCCCACCCCACTCCCACCCCCGCTACCCTCCCTCCTTTTCTAAGCTAACAGGTGGACAGCTACTGCTGTCCTGTGTGATCTTGTACTGGACGAGAGGACGGTGGAGCCAGACGAACTAAAAAGTAATACAAAAATTAAAGAATCATAAGAAAATAAAGCATAAAAAAAGAAAACATTTAAGTCCCCGCCCCCCACATACACACGCAGATATGCGTCGGGTGCGCCTACGTGCGAAAACGACGATTGCCCTGCACGTTACATATCGCCGCAAACGTCGGAGTGAGAGCAATAATTTTAGAGCCATTAATCACTGATAACACTAAACTGATGAGCAGTTAAAGCATTTTAATTGTCGCCTATGGGCGTTTTTTGCGAGCGCACGCAATTTTAAGGCTTGACATGTTTGGTGTCTATTTACCCGACGTGACCCGGACTTATGTTTTACTAAAAATCTGGGTAAGAATAAATGTTTTATAACATAACGTAGGGAAAGTTTTTTTTTTTTACATTCATGGTACTTTTTTCATTATATAGTAAAAAAAAATAACCCCCACCCCCCCGTGGGGTCACAAAAGAAAGCTCTATCTGTCCGCAAAAAATTTTTACATAAATTGCAAGGCTATAGTCCGGTCATGCTGACTGGTGAGACACCATCACATTTTTCAAGGTATGTATGTATGTATGTATGTATGTATGTATGTATGTATGTATGTATGTATGTATGTATGTATGTATGTATGTATGTATGTATGTATGTATGTATGTATGTAGGTCTATATATATCAATGACACTCGACTGTAGTCCAGGAAATTCAAGTAAAATGCAGTTTATTAAGGGCAAACACAAAAAGTATCTGTTCATCCACAGGGTAGCCTTCCCCTGTTACACAAGACAGCTTCCAGCAGCAACATAAAAGACAGACAGTCTTTTGTTCACATAAAGGCCAACATTTTTGCACTTCTCAGGCTAATCAGCCTTCTTCAGCATATACAGTCCTTAGTAGCTTTCCTCAGCTCTAAGCCTCTCAGCACACCTCTGTGTGATACTCACACTGCTCTCCCAGCAGTGGATCACTGACTCTCTCAGCGGTGTCCAACTGGTCCCTTGGGTCACCGACCTTCCTGACCTCTACCAGCCTCCCCCGGCTGTTCCTTGTGCGTCCAGCACGCACCCGAGTCTGTCTGTGTCCGTGTGCCTCCTGCACACACACAACTCCAACTCCCAAAACACTGAGCACTGGGCTGGCTTCCTAGGTAGGCTGCCCTCAGCCACCTGATCAGCCTAGGCTGGTCATTGGCAACACCTGGCCCTAGGACTGGAGATCTCATCCCACCCAGAGCTCTAAGGCCTGGTTGACACCTGGGCGTTTTACAGCGCATTCCTACGCGCTGTAAAACGCTCAACATGTGAAAACCAATAATTGCCTATGGGCATGGTTCCCACCTGGGCGTTTTACAGCGCGTAATAACACACTGAAAAACGCCCTACGCCCAAAGTAGTACAGGAGCTTCTTTGGGGCGTTTTTCCGCGCGTTTCCATTGTGTGGATCGTGGTTAACAAAGCGGTAACCCTGAGCCACACTAGGGCTGCCGACTTCCGGGTTCCGTCCCTTGCGAGCGGCCGCGTCGCAGGGGGCGGAGCCAGCGGGAAGTTTGAAAGTGAAAAAAACAACAATTTTTTTTAAATAAAGAAAATAAGGGGAAAAAACAAATTATACCGCCAGTGAAACGCGCGTTTCACTGAACGAAAAAAACCAGCTGAAAAAATACACTCAGGTGTGAACCCAGCCTTAGAGATCTCTAGAGCTCCATATCCCAGCTACAATTCTGAAAACCTGGAAGAACCTGAAAGGCCCCTCTGGCTGAGAGTCCTGGGTGCCATAGTTGCCAAACTACACCGTGGCATTTGCTTACACTGCCACAATATAGATATAGATACACACACACACACACACACACAATCTCATGTGCAGTTTCTTAATTCATCTGTACATACTCACTTTTAGTGTACTTTGTAGAACACGCAGGGCGTGCACTTTGTAATTTATTTCTGGATTTTTATTTCGTTTGATGAAGGATTTACGGTATTCATCTCGAGTCATTGCAGTCTTTTTACCAATGAGTGACACCCCTCCTTGTTTTAGACAAGTCATCATTAACTCAAGATCATCACCTATCAAGGAGACAAAGTGAAGTTTGTTAATCATCTGCTTTATCCATAATATTCATAATAAAAGAATGAAACTAGAATCACCATCAAAAATGTTAATTAAAGCCTAACAGTTGGGACTTAAATTGTGCAGGTGCCCACATCATCTGCTTGCGTGTTGTATTATCATCATTATCATCCGGAAAATTATTGAACTACCCTCCTAGCTATGCAGTGTGGAAGAGGTGTGAAAAAGAATTAATCGTTTGCCAGGGGAAAAAAAGCTCATGTAAGTGTATTTCAACTTTCTCTTTAACTGCTTGCCTGAAGTCCTGCTTTAAAGCAAATGTGGTTTGCCTGTGAAGGCAAAGCAACAAGTAAGCTTTAATGCTCAGCTTTCCTTGCTACTCAACCACTTGTTTCAGCCACTGAGATGGTAGTAAGCCATGTATAAGCTCCAGGCTACTCTTGTTGGAGTTTAGAAAGAGCGAAGGACTCTCTTTATGCTCTCATATAACAGCCCTGGGCCAATCACCAAGGCTGTCACAAGCTTTTCCATGACGATGTTTTTTTAATGCAAAATATCAAGCAAACTGTCACAAGTGGATTAATAACAAAATATATTTTTTCACAGTTTCCCTTACTTAGGGGGTATATAATGGTAAAGTACACTCTTATTATGGACGTGAAGTACTATGTCGATGGCAGCATGCCACCTGTAGCAGCCAAGTATCCGTTTACATTCATTCAGCTGACTCCTGGCTATATTCTGCAAGTGATTCTGGTGGCTCTAAAGCTTGATTAGCTTTACTGGGCTGCAAAGGTGACACTAGGTGTCTAATATACGCCTAATGTCTTCATAAAGAGAAACTCTCACCAGCAATCATCTATTACATAGGTGGTTACCACCTTATGTGATAGCAATAACGTTAAGTTAAAAACGTATACAAAAATATGAAGCTTAAATATAATTAAAGAAAACATATCCCCTGCAAAATTTCTTTAAAGACCCCCACCCCCACATAAAAATAAAAAAAAGCATGTTAGTATTGCCGCACACACCTGAATGAGAGTAATAATTCTGGTCATTTATAGTTTACTCTAAATTATTGATCTGTGGAGACTGTTAAAGCGTTGCCTATGGACAATTTTTGGTACCAAATCCTTCGCTGCTTCACATGTAATTTTGAGGTATCTCAACAGGTTTTGTATCTATTTACGTGACATGCGCTCATCTTTTATATTTTATCATAAAATGGGTATTATATTGTGTTTCTGCCCACTAAAATTCATTTTATTGCATTTGTTACTGGCAATTTGGGTTAGAAAAACTGTTAAATATCATGCGACATGTAATTGCAACTATGACTATTTTTTCCTAGGGTCTGTGCTTTCGGAAAATACATAAATTTGGGGGAACTTTAAGCAATTTTTATGCCTAAATGTGCATTTTAACATGTATGCAAAAAACTGTTCTGGGAGCTAAAGAAATAAAACCATGTTTTCGATTATTCTACTCAAGGCGGAGGGTTCAACATTTCCCTCCTCGTATTCCACAACATATAATGCAATTGGTTAGTTTCCCAAAGTCTTTTAAAAGGAGAATTATGAGGTGAGTGCTTTTCACTCACCTCATAGTTCTAGCCGACCTGTGACAATGAGACTGTCACAGGTCGGCTCAGTAGATCGGGAGGTGAGCGAACATATACCGGCGTTCGCTCACCTCTCGATCCTGTCACGGCTCTCTGCCGTAACAGGGGAGGGGCTGGATTCCCCTCTCCCCAATCCTCCAGTGCTAATTGGAGGAACAGACGGGGGAGGGTACAGCTGGCTCTGCCTCTAGATAGGCAGAGCCAGCTGTCAGTCACGCAGCTGGGCGGATCCAGACATAATTGTTGGGATCCGCTTCAGCGTCTCAGTATACCGCGAGCTACAGCTCGCGGTATACCGAGCCTAGGCTGACGGGAGGACGCTAGTTTGTGTCCTCCCGTTACCCTAAGGAGAACTATGGGGAAAAGCCCTAACCCCATAGTTCTCCTTTAAGCTGGCAGTTAAAGAACCAAATTTAATTTGCACCATGTAGTGCGAAAACCTTCCATGCCACTTTAAAGAAGTAATCCTATCACAAAAATATATTAGCTTTTTTGTTTAATGCCAGCCACTCAAACCACTCACCATCTTCTAAAACCACTTATGAATCTGTGAAAGACCTAAACAAATCCTACAGTTCATCCGACAACATGCGACATAAAGCCAACCACTAAACTTCTACCGTGTGGGCAAAGCTTGGATCATTTGGAAGGTCCAACAGGGGACAACACGCCTCAGAATCAACCCCAATCAGAGCAATCAAACTGAATCACCTCTGCAGTGATGCAGATATCTCACAGTGTATTAAAAAAAAAGCCTATAAAAGGACAATAATAAAATGTTTGTACATAAGCTTGATTACATATTAATTTGTTTTGTACATATCAGACCTTGAGGTTGGGTACTGCTAACAGTTGGCATCTGTACACCTTCTGCCCCCTTTCCCTTTGTGGAGACTGGACTTGCCCCTGGTGTTTCCTTCTTCACTGGCGATTGCACAGCTTGTTTCTTTACCTAAAAGAGGGATTTAAAGATGAAATAAGGATTTAGATGACTAAAGAAGCATTCTAATAGGAATTTCCAAAACAAAAACGGTCAGATTTAAAAAACATTGGTAGCCGACACAAAAGCTCCTTGCCCTGTAAAAGACACATTGTCAGGTGAACTAAGTTTGAGGGTTGAATGCAAAATTGTTGCACCCAATAAATAAATAATTCAAGTAAACTCCCAGTTTTCCTGGCACCCACGGGGATCGGTAGGTGGTGGATAACTGTAGTATCTGGTTGCCTGAGCCCTCGTTCACACCTGAACGTTTTGTAGCGCGTTCTATGCTCGACAAACGCTCTACAAAACGTTCAAACATCTAAATCCCATTGTATTCAATGGTCTGGTTCACACCTTGGCGTATTTCCGCCCGTCCCTAACGCACTACAAAACGGCCCACGCCTGAAAAGGTACATGTAATAATTTGGGCCGTTTTTGTTGCGCGTTTCCATTGGGATACAGCCAAGTAGCCCTCGGAAACGCATGTTTGTCGCGCGATTTTTTTTACCACGAATCGCGGTAATAAAAACTTAGCATGCATATGCTTATCAAGCAAATGGCAAAAAAAAAAAAGCCATGTAATGTCCTCTATTTTTTTTGCCAGTTGCTTGAGTGTGCCTTGAATGGCGGACAATAGAAGATTAGAAAAAAGTTGCCTGGTCTAAGGAGTCTCGATTTCAGCTGCGACATCCAGATGGTAGGGTCAGAATTTGGAGTAAACAATATGAAAGCATGGATCCATCCTGCTTAGTATCAGCGGTTCAGGCTGGTGGTGGTGATGTAATGGTGTGGGGGATATTTTCTTGGCACTCTTTTGGCCAGTGATGCGATCATGTCAATATGGACCAAAATCTCTGAGAAATGTTTCCAACACCTTGTTGAATCTATGTTATTAAGAATTAAGGCAGTTCTGAAGGCAAAAGGGGGTCCAACCTGGTACTAGCAAGGGGTACCTAATAAACAGGTCGGTGAGTGTATGATGCCTTCAGTAAATTCCTCTCCTAGTATTTAGATATGGACAATTCAGCAATGGCAACCTCACTATTTCTCTTAGCACAAGATTCATTTAAGCGTTACATATGAAGTGCTAGGGAGAACTATGGGGTACACTTTTTTTTGCATTTTAGTTTCCTTTTGATACAGGAATATATTTTGCAATGTACTCCTGTAAATCGATAATGCACCATAAGTTTAGAATTCAGTGTAATATACTATAGGCGGGGCTTAGCTCTGTGCTGAGAAGCTATCCTGGCAATATTGTCTGGATCCTTATCTCCCATTGAGTGACAGCAGATTGTAGGAGCTGCTGCACGTACATGAGAACCTATGGGATTGTTTCTCAGCACAGAGCTTAGCCCCACCCACAGTATATTACCCTGAATTGTAAGCTTATGGTGCATTTTTTGATTACAGGAGTACATTGTAAAATGTACTCCTGTATCAAAAGAAAACTAAAAATGCAAAAAAATGTGTACCCCATAGTTCTCCTTTAACCCTTTCGCTGCCAAGCCCTCCGGAACATTTTTCAAATCAGCTGGCCAAGCCATTTTTGAATTTTCTGCAATTTTTTCCTATTGATTTGATTTTCAACTGCTGCGTTGCTAGCGTTTGTAAAAGACCAGGGGGGGCGCCCGGTATTTTTGATAATAGCGGTCATCAGCGGCTTGTGAGCCGCTGATGACAGCTATTAATTTAAAGGGGACAGTCTGCTGAACAGTTATACTATAAGCTGATGGTCGCTGAAGCGACCATCAGCTTATAGTAGAACTGTAAATGCCAGGTCCGTATGGCATACTGACCTGGCCAGCTGGAAGCACTTTTGTAGGTCCGTATGCCATACGTCCTTGGCAGCGAAAGGGTTAAAAGGAAATATATATTTGAAAGATGGGGGCTGAATCACTGATGACTTCTCCTTCTAAAAAAGTTACCTGTCCAACTCCCATGCTGTTCCAGCATTTTTACCCTGGAACAAGTATTATTAGGAGTTCTTGAAGTATTACCACAAGAGAAACCCAAACATCTAGCACTGTTACAAAGTGGTGAGCAAAGGCAGTACAGGGTTCCTTTAGTAAAAATTAAACTCTCAAACTTTTTTCCAATAATGAATCCAGATCAAACAAATAGGTATTGTACAGCAAGGTATTTCTTTTAATTTATGCCCAAGGACTTAAGCCTTGTTCACACCAAATGCAGAGCAGATCTGCATGAGTTTCTGCACACGCAGTGCAGTGGGTTGTGCCGCGTTTTTGATGCGTTCCGGGCCGTTTTGGGAAAAAATAAAATATACATTCTTTTTTTTAGTTTAAAATGGGCTTTCAGTGCATTCAAGGGCGTTTGCATGCATTTTCGTATGCGTTTGCATGCGTTCCAGAGCAGGTAAAATAGAGCCTGCAGGGGGATCCACTGATTCTACAGGAAGCTAAAAACTTTTAAACATCAAGGCGCATCCATTTTAAGCACATCAGAATTTCAAATATCTTAAATACATTTTGACTTTAACATCACTTAACTTTCTCATTATTTTCAGTGTAAAAAACACTGGACTAGAATTATCTGGCACTAAAAACCATTGAAACCGAATTATTTTCTATGGAACGATTTTGTAAAAAAGGATATGATGCAAAACAAAAATCACAACTTACCACATCTTGAGTTTTGGAGTGCTCCTCATCCTCTGCCTCAGTTTCACTGTAACAATCTAAGGAAAACATTAAATCACAAAATATCATATCAGGTTACTTTGCATTATTTCACTTGGTATTTATTTGGTATTTATTTTCGATCCCACAAATCTAAAGAAATGTCATTCACTCATCTGTGGAAATGGGTGTGTCCTGTTTCTTAAAATGAGTTGTCATACTCATGAAGGAAGAGGCAAAATGACTTATACCATTTAAGCTGTCAAAGATAGATATCTCACAGGTGATGAAATCTAGCCATCTTCAAAGTCATCTCCATTCATAGTCACTTGCCATACTCATTTTTACAAAACCATAAAACATGCAAGACTAAAACATAGGCAGTTAAAGGACTGTTCCATTTTATCATCAAAAATAGAACAAAACAGGAGACTGGAACACTCAGGTGTGCACCATGTTTACATACTAAACAACCATTTACTATACAACTGATACAACCAATGCTGAAATGTTGCATCACCTAGTGTATAACACAACTGAGTGGGAAAAAAAGTGAAATCCTAATATTGGGTGCCTCTGTTCTGGCAATTAAACCAACCCTGTTGTCTGTCACGTGTGTTTGTACTATATCAGGAAAAACTCATTTATTGGAAGAGATATGTTGTTCTCATTACACCTAGAAATTCAAGAAGAAGAGTAGACTCACAGCTTGGGGCAAGCAGGTGAAAACTGCACAACCCATCCTATTTAAATCCCAATAACACTACCTGTAGAATAATAATGCCTTAGTGGCTAGCTCACATTATGCGCTACAGCTTAGTATAGTTTTATAAAATTGAACACCCAGTGAAATGAATTTTAAGTACACATACCATGTATTTTTAAACACATCTGCACTGTGGTAAATAGTCTGTTCTTCATGTTGTATACTGCATTAACAGAACAAACACGACATTTAAAATGCACAAAAGGTGCATTACTGCATATGTACATGTGTGGAAAGAACGTGAGAAAGGAATGCTGTATGCAAACTTTCTTTGTGTGTGTGGCACGCTCATTTAGGGACAAAGATGTCATATAAAAAGACAAAATTGATTACAGTACAAATT